AATTTAAATGTCTTTTTTTCCACGTACAATTTTTCTAAATATTGGCATTCTCAATTATAAAGATCTTTCAATTGTTGGCATGTGTTATTACACATCTGTTTTAAAAAATCGCTTGGAGCTGGTGGTGCAGCTCCATGGTAGAGACATGCTAGCGTGTTCAAGGCCCTGGGTTCAGTCCCTGGCACCAAAAGAGGAAAAGCAGATTTGTTGTCAGGTCAGCTGTTGAACTCATGGTGGGTAGAAATTTTACAAAATCTTAGTTTTGCTTAAATGCTCAAATTTTAAACTGACACGAAATACTGTCAGTTGTTTTCATTAAAGTGTGTTAGGTTTTGCCTTGTTTATTTTTTAAAGAGAATGTCTTCCAAATAACCCAAATCTGAATAACCCTGGTTTGTGTGTGCCAGCATTTTTTCAAGTAAAAATGGAACTCCTTGATGATGAGGGACTAGTTCTTTTAGGAGCAATAAGAGAACTTGTGGCTTCTGGCTCAGGGCTGCCTGGCTCTGTGAAGTCGTCTTTGCATTGTCATCGTGCAGCTCGTGGGGCAGGTAGCAGCATCTTATTAGCAACTGGCTTTGTCTTCGTGGGGCGGCGGGGTGGGTGAGAGTTGAGAGGCCGTCACATTCTTAGGTGTGTTGGGATAAAAACCAAAACTAAACAAAATGAACTGCCCCCTCCCCGTGCAGCTGTGCATAAAGTTAAGATTAGCGGAAGGCCAGGTGTGCTGCTGCTCAGTGTTCCCTCAAAGGCAGTTAGTCCCTCTTACAGAAGCTTTAAAGGCCGACGCCGGGTGAGGAGTTTACTCAGTGACATTCCAACGCAGCCTTGCCTTCCCTTACTTGCCCCTGCTGAAGCATTCACAGTCTCTGTTCCTCTCAGGTGACCCCGAGAGTGTGGCTGGGGAGTATGGACGGCACTCCCTCTACAAGATGCTGGGCTACTTCAGCCTGGTGGGGCTCCTGCGTCTGCACTCCCTGTTGGGGGATTACTACCAGGCCATCAAGGTGCTCGAGAATATTGAACTCAACAAAAAGGTACATGCTGTGGCCTCCAGCTATCTTCCCAGAGCTGGAACATCTGTTTTGAGAGGGCCTCCGATCTCTTAGGACACATTTTCAGGAGAGGACTCTTTCCAGGTGAAAACTGAGTTGTGTAAACCGCTGAATACTACGTGGTTAATGACATGGGATATTCAGCAATCTTTCGGTTCTGCTTTCAAGCAGAGTGGCAATGAGAGTTTTTTTCTATTCAACATCACTAGTCTAAAGAATTAACAAAAGATCTGGCTCTAGGGCTGGGGATGTGGCTCAAGCGGTAGCGCGCTCGCCTGGCACGCGTGCGGCCTGTGTTCGATCCTCAGCACCACATACAAACAAAGATGTGTGTCCACCGAAAAAGATCTGGCTCTAGTGGGTACAGGGGTGCACACCTGTAATCCTGGCTCCTCCTGAGGCAGGAGGATCGCAAATTCAGGGCCACCTGGACAACTTTGCAAGATACTGTCTCAAAATTTAGAATTTAAAGAGTTGGAGATTTAGCTAGGTGTCACTGGGTTCACTCCTTTGTACCAGACGAGGAGGAAAGAAAAA